TGGATGGATGGATGGATGGATGGATGGATGGATGGATGGATGGATGGCACCGCACCACCCTGGCGAAATGAAGCTGTTTAGACCATTAAATAAACGCATAATAAATTAGACTCATACACCGAAGTAACTTATATCTGCTTTTTTCCTCTTCATGATGCTTTTTTTGACTGATGGGCACTTATACTCTGGAGCGACTTATACGCCGGAAAATACGGTACAACAAATTTAGAAATATAGTTCAGTGTTTGATTAAAAAAATACAACATAAAAACCCATCTTACCTGTTATCCAGAACAAGCCTAGGTCATCATGAATATAAAAATACTCTGTAAGAAAAGAGGAAACACAGTTACCTGAAGCTTGAATTCCCTCAATCGACAGCAAAGAAGCATGACGGGAGGAGTAAATCTCACCTATGCTGGTAAACCAGGGGTCTACTTCCCAAGGCACATAACCCAGGACAGGAGGAAACGCCCCACAGTTGGACTCTGAGACGTAACCTTGTGTTGTTACCGGAGGGTTTGTTACGTTTGGACGGAAATAGGCCTTCAGCGGGGCGTAGACATTGTATCTCACGCCGGATATGCAACCTATGAAACCTGGAGCATTATGTCTCTGGATTTCATATTCAATGTCACCAACCTCTGAAGGAAAAGACACAAGCAGTGAAACATAAGAAGTAACTCCAGCTGCAAACTTACAACCACGAGGATTCTGATAAACAGGAAGTGAAGTGTTTACCCATCACTCTGCCCAGGAACATGGACTTTGGCGAGTCAAATCTGGCATCCTCCACTAATGTTATCTTCTCCACTATGGGTTCCATGTAGTCCACCTGACAGTAAAGCAACATTTGTTATAAAATTCAAAAGGATTTATATGTAAAATAGCATAAACTACAAAGCATTGTTTGAAGAGTGAGAGCAAGAACCTGTGTTTTGATGGTTCTGTTGTGTCTGGTTATGTTAACATAGTGAGGATATCCATCTGCCAGGTTTCTGTGAGTCAGCTGGTACTTGTGAGTTATGAGCCCCAGCTTATACCTCAGATCTACACTACCTAATGAGACAAAAGAGCCATCATCATCATCAAACATTAACAGCATGTTCTGCCATTCAGGATGAAGTTTTTCTTCCTGGGTCTTTAAACTGTTGAAGAAGTCAGTACTCTCCTGAAAACTGAAGTCCACAGCAAAAGATTTGACTTTACTATCATCGGAACAATTTTTTCTTCTTCATTCACTTACCATCGTTCTTGAGGATGACAGCGATGTAGTCTTGAACGAAGGAACTGATGTAGAGTAGCACAGCAGGCGTGTGAACTGTGCTGAAACTGAACTCTATGTCATCAGCCGTGTCGTTGTAGCCGAGGCTGAAGTTGTCGTAATGCGGGTCGATCCAGTTGGCCCAGGCTGCCTCATCTGATATGGGTTTTTTCAATATGTTGTATCTCAACCACGATCCAATTTCAAAATAAGCTCCAATGTCTTAAATGAGATCAATGTGGTATTAGATATATGAAATTGGTTAATTTCAGAAGTTTGCATTGAACGTGAACTCACCTTTATGGCAGTAGAACCCATCAAAGGCTGTGTTGTTACAGTCACAAGTGTAGGAAGCGTATCCCTCAATACATTGACCACTGTTTCGACATGGAATGGTGGCGTTGAGACACTGTCCAGTGCAGTTCCTCCGTATACCCTGTTCTTCATTTACCTTCCCTTCTAAATCAAGAGGAACACCATTCATACGTAACCCTCGAAGGCATCCTAAGAAGGGCCTTAGAGTGCGGTTAGCTGCACCTAATGACAAAAATATGCATCAGTGGGTACAGAGCAGTTTTAGTGGGGACACAATGGACTTTAACGTTTCAAAGTTCTTCCAAGGCAACCTACCTACAAGGAGAGGATGTGAGAATTTCATGGTGACAAAGGTCTGACCTGGGAATCGTTTAACAGCCCAAGGTTGGTAATCAACCTTGATCCTAGCTAATTTCACATTAAGCTCAGCCTGAACAAAATGCCACTCGTTGTCATTGAGTGGTACAGGGGAGTGAAGGGTCACATTTAGGATGCCATCTCCAACCATAAATATGAACGCAAGGTTGTATGTGGCTAGATGAAAGAAAAACAGGAAAAAGTTTTAAAACATGAGCAAGAAAGATTTCCCTGATACTGTAGGTGAGAAAACCTTACTGTTAAGTTCTATCCTTATAAAGTTTCTGAGTTGTTCATCTGAGTTTTCCAGGAAGACACCGTGGTCACGATATGTTTTGAAGTGGAAAGAGATGTCAGCAGTTGAGCCAGGCCTGAAAGTGGGGAATGTGATGTAGGTGGGTTTTGTGAAGGCTATTGTGTTCCAGATGTTTCCTGTAAAAGAGATTAAAATGCATCTACTGTAAAGAAATCCAACATAGCACAAATACATCCCTGTCTGAATTAAATCAGTTATAATTCAGCATACTGTCGCCATGGCAGCGGAGAGGACCAACTGTGACTTGTGCTTCTGAGCCAGTCCTGTTGGTGTCCCCAACCACCACCCTCCTCACAGGCAGATGGTCTCTGAAGTCCAAATAACCTTTATCTGAATACCTAAAAATCCACACGGGATACATTACAATAATGTGAGAGACGTGAGTTAAACAAGCTGGTTATGTCTGTCCCTTACCATTGTCTGTAGTCAGCATCACAGTTGCACTGAAACTTTGGGTCAACACAGGTTTGATTAATTGAGCAACCACATTTTTGGACTTCTCTGAACGTCCCTCCCCAGTAATAGTGACTCTCATTGTTGCGACCGATCCAGTAACCAAAAGGTCTTCCATCTGTTTTGAAAAACAAATCGTGTGTGTGGGTCATTTAAAACCCGAAGAACCCGTACTGCTGATCCCGTTGAGGATCAGCAGTACCAGCAGATTAGAAACTGAGCGCACTCACTGGGGGTGTTGAGCAGACGAGACTTGTAGCAGGAGTAGTCGATCCACTGCTCACAGTACATGGAGGCGTTGGCGAGAGCAGTTACTTCATCCCAGGAGGCATTCCAGTAGTGTACATCGACTATAGATGGGCGGTCTATTGAGCTCCCAGTCACCTTGGTACCTTCCACTCGATCATGCATAATCACAGTCCAAGCTTTATATGCTGCAAAGATATAAGACAGATGTAGTTTAAATGGTAAATGGACTGTACTTATACAGCACCTTTCTATCTACTGTAATCAAGATACTCAACGCGCTTTACAATACAACCTGTGTCCTCATTTACCCGTCCACACAGCACGCCACTAGTCTCTACAAAGATGATCTGAATCTGTAGAGACTAATCAGTGCTTTACATCACACTCATACACCGATGGGACAAACATCAGAGACAATGAGGGGTTCAGTGTCTTGCCCAGGGACACTTCAACATGTGACTGCAACCCCCAACTGTCCCATTGGGGGACGGTTGCTATAACCGCTCATCCACAGCCACTACAAGCAAAACTAGTTCAAACAGTAAAATTAGAAAAATGGGCTAAGAATGATTTAAATGAAAAACAAAGGAATGCATTTAATTCCCCCTCTTTTATGCCAGGGCATATTGTGTTAAAAAAAAATGACAGAATTTAAATTTGGCCATTTTGGTTAAACTTTGAAAATAGTTGTGTGCAAGACGTCATGTTCAGAGTATGTTTACTTTCTGCTACGTGACGTTTTAGCTCAATATCTGTAAAACTATTACAAATATTTTCATGTTGGCTTTTGTTGAGTAGCTGTGTCCGCCGTACTAAATTGGACATACTCCACAAGTTAAGCAGTTGTAGGTGTACATCAATTTCTTTCTGAAAGTTTCTTTAATATCCCTCCAGTGGTTCATGCTAACAACAAGGATGGCTGACTCCAAAATAATAAAAGATCTCTCACAATAAGTAGTGTTTCCACAAGGCTGATAAATGCTGACTGGTAATGGCGCTGATTACTTACACTTCATTTTGCAGTACACTTCAAAGGGTTTCAGCGGCCCACTGAGATCAGGATCAATGGTGTAGTTTCCAGACCAGTATTTCCCACTCAGTCTGTACGCCTCACATGACTCTTTGTAAACGGCTGTTTACAGGACAGAAATGATCCGTTTTATTATCCAGTACTGTCAATGACAATAGATGCTTGAGCCATGTAAAAATTAATTGGGAAACTATGGATCAGTTGATCAGTTCTTACACATGTGACACACTTCTCCTTTGTAGCCTGTATTCTCACACAGACAGATGAAGTCATCCCAGGACTGGATGCATCTGCCCTCATGTTCACATGGATTTGGAGTGCACCTACAAATGCAAAAAGAGATGTATTATTTAAATAGCATTGTTTCTGTAAGTGTATATTTTCTGTGATGGGTGTTGATCTTTTCACAAGGCTAAAAACATTTGAGTTTCAGTTGAATAAACGTATTTTGTGTCTTAATGCCGTGCTTGATTATTTTGTGCATTTCTCACCTGTCAGTAATTCCACAGGTACCTAACAGCAGCTCCTCGTATCGCGCCCACTGTCGCTGCAGAGTAATGTCAATATCAAGCTGCTCGTTGTCAATGAAGATATGTTGCATGCAGCCGTGGAAGCGATTTAATTTGGTTTCACACTTGAACGCTGTATTGTTGGTTTTTGGACAACCTAAAGGGAAAACAAAGTTTGAATGACTGGAAGAATGCACATTTGGATGTCCAGTGTCCTTCTACAGTTGTCTGATTAGTAACCACACCTCCAAAAAAGTAGCGGTCACTTGTTCGAATGGTAAATGGATTTGTGATCTTCAGCGGGGAGCCTTCCTCCTCATCAATGGTGAGGGTCAGCAGGTTGTCTCTAGCTGCCAAATCCACTGAATGCCAGTAACCATCATTTAGCCTGTAACCTAAAGATCAAGACAAAGCCTACAGTGATGCATGTGTATTAGAAATGCAACATATACACTCACCAGACACTTTATTTGGCACACCCCCTTTCATGTTCAGAATTGCCGTAATTCTTTGAGTCATATATTCAACTAGGTGCTGGACACGTTCTTCAGTTGCTGCAGGTTTGATTGTTTTCATTTGGATTGGATTAATTTTAATCTAATGACTGTGAAGGTCATTGGAGTTGAGCAAGTTGAATCTCATCGACCATGCAATATTTTCCAACCTTCTATTGTCCAATGTTGGTGAGCCTGTGAGAAATGTAGCCTCAGTTTCCTGTTCTTCGCTGACAAGAGCAGTACCAGGTGGTCTTCTGCTGCTGTAGCCCATCTTCTTCAAGGTTGGACAAGTTGTGCGATCAGGGATGGTATTCTGCATACCTTGGTATTTTATCTATTCTCCTCTGATTTTTGATTTAGGACCATTCTCTGTTAACTCTAGAAATTCAGTAGTTGTGTGTGAAAATGCCAGTAGATCAACAGTTTCTGAAATACTTAGACCAGGCTGTTGGGTATCAAACTTTTCTTCCTCGTTCCCATGCCCAGTTTGAACTTCAACAAGTCCCTAGATCTAGATGCCTAAATGCATTAAGTTGCTAGCATGTGATTGGTTAATTAGCTATTTGTGTTAACAAGCAATTAAACAGATGTACTTAATAAAGTGGTTGGTGTGCATGAACCAGGATCTAATTACCATGCAGCTAATATAAAATAACCAGTTAAGTAAGAAGTAAAATCCCCCGAAACCTTACCTCGCATGCCAAAACCTCACCTGCAGCAAACTGCAGCTTCTTTTTTCCAGTCTGGAAGATGGTTACATTGATCTGACCCTCACTCAGACCCAGCTCAAGGGCACCTAGGTTATCAGCAAAGCGTGTGAACATCAGAAGCCCTGTGTAGTCCCATGAGCGGAATTTAAACTTAACAAACATGCGAGGCCTGCCGATGAACCCCGGCACTTGCAAGAAGTTGTTGGGTCCAGCAAAGGTCATTGGCTTGAGCAGAATGTCACGGCAGGAAAAGTGCATTTTTTTCTGTATAGAGAGAAAAATTAGATCTCGTTAGTGATGGAGAGGCGTTGCACAGTGGGTAATCACCCAGAACAGCTTACGTTTCGAGGGATATGAATGTCAGGTTCTTCTCTCCTAGCCTTGTCGATGATGTTGATGCCATTAATGAAGACATTTTCGAGACATCCTCGGAAATTTTGTATGGTAGGTAGGTGAGGCAGATTTGGCTCTATTACTCCTCCTACATACATCTAAATGAGAAATATTTAGACACTCAACGATTACTTCAAAACATCATCACACAGTCACTGAAACTCGTGTAACAGTCTTTTTTATTTAGGTACCTGTGTGTTTAGATCCAGGTGAGTAAATTCTCCTTTGCAAATGGCTGTCACCGTCTGACTGTCCACGGTAAGGTTCACCTGTCGACCGTAGCGCTTGACAGTGACATAGTGCCAGTGCAAATTATCAAGAAGGCTTCCCGCAGTCAGAGTAATTCGACCATCAACTTTGTGTATAACGCTGCTTCCTGGGGAACAAAAATCAAGCAGAGGACTTCAGATCAGACGTAGATGCACATACTGAGAGAGAAACATTAACTCCAGGATTTTTGAGATCCCTCTCAGACAAATTGCCTTATTTCCAATTTGTGAAAAGTCTGCTTCACATTTTTTGCTCATTACAACCATTCTGCAAATATCAAAACGACACTCACCAAGACTGATGTGCAGGTAAAGACGACCTTTCTTCAGCTCCAGGGTGAAGAGGTCTCCCTGAATCCCCTCACTGTGTAGCAGCAGACCATCCTGCTCCAGGGTCTTAAAGTTTATGGCAACATGGTCCTGCAGCGTGTGGGACCTTTGTCCTGGGAATGTGTACACCACTGCATCATCTCCGTTGTATTGTAGCACATGGGAGTCTGGAAAAGAGCAAGGTAAAGTTTCACATTGAGACATTTTGTGACTCTTGTATTAATTTTGTGTCCTTCTTCTTCTTTTGGCTTTTCCGTCTTCAGGGGTCTCCACAGCGAGTCCTCCTCCATCTCACTCTGTCCTCTGTGTCCTCTGTCCTCTCTCCATCTACCTCCATGTCCTCTCTAACTGCATCCATATGTCTCCTCTTTGTCTTTTTCCTGCAGCAGCATTTCCAACATCCTTTTACCAATATACCCACTGTCCCTCCTCTGGACATGTCCAAACCACTGTCCCTCCTCTGGACATGTCCAAACCACTGTCCCTCCTCTGGACACGTCCAAACCACTGTCCCTCCTCTGGACATGTCCAAACCATCTCAGTGTGTCCTCTCTAACTTTATCTCCCAGTTGTTCAACCTGTGCTGTACCTCTGATGATCTCATTCCTGATCTTCTCCATCCTTGTCTCTCCTAAGAAGAACCTCAACATCTTCATTTCTGCCACTTCCAGTTCTGTCTCCTGTCTTGTTGTCCATGTCTCTGTCTCCAGACCATACAACATAGCTGGACTCACTTTGCTGACACCCTTTTGTCACAAATCACTGCTGAAATTAGTGTGTCCATAGAAGTCAAAGTCCAGCATGCATCGCTCATATTTACCATATGGGCAGCCGAAGAGCTCCAGTCTCACACCAATCTTTCCTCCGTTCTCCGTGTTCCACGCCAGAGGCAGCAGACGAATGTGTTTAGCGGTAAAGGCGTAATGGAAGACATTTCTCTTCACCTGATAATAATTCCAGTTTCCAGGCAGCGTCTGCAAACAGATGAGACAGGGAAGGCGTGGAGAATTATTGTCGCTGCACCTCCTTATAATGAACCAGGAGATAAACTGATGATGACATTAGTTTTGTCTCTGCTGAGAGAGATAATATGCTGTGCTGGCTTTGTTTTTATATGCAAGTGACATAAAACATAATGAAACACCTCGTAATATCCTAAATCAGCTCTAAAAACACGTTTGACTTGCTAATTGTCAGCTCAGCTACGGTTTGGGTCTCCTTTGTTTTTGGGCCTGTTGACACCTACAGAATTTCCTCCTTTCATGATGTATGGAGTCCAGGAATCTGGTCTGTCTCCATAAAGAAGCGTATACTTGGTGACCCAGTCATATGAGTTAAAAGTCCCCTGGGTTGCAATTGCCACCAGTCGGTACTTCCTGCCCAGATTGACCTGCAGCCATGGCTGTCTGTCTCTGGGGGAAGGGGACCAGCCACTGCTGCCTGTGAGAGAAGGAACAAAATTACGTTCTTTTAACAATACTAGTTGTGGTGCTAAAGAACAGAACTCGACAAAATTACTTAATGATTTCGAACTCACCATACAGTTTGGCAAAATTGGCAGAGTACAGAAAGTTATATCTGGAAGAGGCCCAGAAGGAGGAGGCATACAGCCCAGTGACGAGCGGATCAACACATTCTCCTGCAGACGCAAAACGGATGACATCATGCTCAGAAAGCAAGTAAAAGTATTTCTCATAACGCAGCATTCAAATTTTACACTGCCGTGCAAAACTCCTGCAGACACTGACTCATGAGCGCTCATCTGTGCTCTGTAAAACAAAAGTGCACGTTAGGTTCGATCAGCTCAAAGTGAAGCACCAATGCATGTAGCTTCTTTGCTGGAGGGATATAAACAGTGAAGTCAATGATCTTACATCGCTCTAAACAGCCTCCTCATCTGCAGGTGGATCGGAGTTACAAAACAAATCTCTGTTTGGAGAGTGTGTCGTTCTATTCTACACAGTTTGGGCTAGATTAAAAAAACATGTAGAAGATAATCAGCTACTGTCTATGTATATTATTACTGTAGTAAAGTTTCATAACTGTGTTTTTTGATTAAAAAATGCATCTGATATTTTATTGTTAGGCTGCAGGGCCAGAATAAGTGACCACTTTAGTTCTGTATTATATTTTTAGACATTAATACATGTTTCCAGATAGGAAACTCAAAGTTAAACTTTGTGCATGAGACTAATAGAAGCATCACCATCTGCTCCCACTCTCTCAGAAGCTCAAAGTTAATGAACGACACCATAAATCTGTCTAATCTTGTGTCCGCTGCAGCTGAGAACAAATGTCTGAAGCCCTCACCTTCAGCTCCAGAAGAAACACTGTGACATTTTTAGTATCAAAAATGTCCTTTAATGATCTGAGGAGATTTATTATAAATAGACTTAATATATATAAATAAATAGGATTTTACTGAAAGAGAATGTAGTAGTTCAATATAAGAAATTACCATCTGACTTTTCTGTCTATATAATATCACAGTATCTGATGTAGAGTTGTTTCCTGGTAAACAAAGTGGGCTGGGATTTTTATTACTTTCTCATAAATAATGGAGCAAAGAACCACGGCTGGAGACATAGAGAACTATATAATCTATGGGAGAATTTATTAGTTTCACAGTTAAAATGATGTTGTGGAGAAAAAGACTAATCACAGCAACTCCTTTTAATGACAAAGAATGACAAAAGCAAAACATTTTCATCCTTTACTACTTCAATGTCACATAAATTACAGTGGCCAGTACTTTTATTTAGCAACACACCCATTTGTATTGCAAAGGGCTACAGTGAGAGTGTTGTCCTTGTGGAACGACCAGTCTCTCATGCTGCTGATCTCATGCTGCTGATTTGTTTCATGCTGCTGTGCTCATCTGCTCACACAGACTCATGTTCGTGCTGCTGTTCAGCGTATTGTTTTTATGCTATTAGTGCTTAGTGTATTTTTAGTTTAACATTGTTCTTAGTTCATATCTCAGATGTTATCACTGTTTTTCTTTACAATTTATACTTGTTTTGGATGTAACTGGGACCCTGTGCACACAGTTTGGTTCCACCACAGGTACCACATGTGGTGTGAATGACAAATAAAGAACGTTTGACTTTCTGTGAAAGGACGCAGCACATTTAGGTGGAAGAAATGTGCCGAGCAAGTGAAACGTGACCTTGTTTTTTCCATCTGTCTCCTCTTTCATGACATTTTCTTTTTGTCCTTCAGAAATCTCTGCTACGCTGCAAGTGATCAATAACAGATCCAGGATCACATTAATCCTCTAATGCTGTTTGCTCTCACATGTAAGTCCACACAAATATATTCAAAGGCTTTCTGGTCTAATTATACAACAAAGCTGTTGTTGCTGCTGGTGGTTTGTGCATTGATGGAAAACTACCTGGATTATTGAGCATGCATCAGGATGGAAAACTTGAGCTTTAAATGTGAAGTGCAGCTTCATATTCCTAATCTGACATCTTGCTTTGTTATCTCTATCATATCTGCAAAAGATACCTGTATCCTATTACATCATTCCTTTTTAATAATGTTGCTATATTCTCCTCCTCTGACTTGCTGCCTCTTGATGTCCAGGAGGGTGTTGTCATTGTGCAGAAGTTACACCTGAAGCCTGTGCTGCACCCAGTCTCCAGCTTTTCTCTGGTCTCCTTCTGCAGCCTCCCTCTACTGCATCGTCCTACATTTATCATTAAGGCTCGGCTGAGCCCGGTCCTCCACTCCTGCTGAGTCATCAGCCTGCCTCTGAGTGCAGGCTGGTCCTGTCTGAGCTGACGCATCATTTACTGCTGCTTGCATACATTATGCAGAGAGACAACTCCTAAAGTTGTCACGTTACAGAGGATCCAGCCGGCAACTCTTACATCAAAATTACGACAAAAACGTGCCGCGACAGAGAGAAACAGAACATTAAAAACATGCTCCATTAAAGGAATTTGATTCAATAATTTATGAGCAGGTAGCCATCACACTGCAGCATGTCCAAGTGCTGCCTGGAAGTAAAACTACAACATTTACAGAACCTCAAAATCATATTTTTACATCTTACTGCCTGACATTATTACATTTAAGATGAAGGTTCCTTGTAACGTGCAGCACATCGTCTGTTTGTCCTGTTAACTTTGACAGAGGGCACAAACCTCTACATTCAGACAAATGGAATAAATTCTTCCATTTCCAACTCCAACACTTCAGAGAGTGCTTCGTTCGCAGCCCCACCCAAACAAGGGTCGCAGTGAGAGCTGACGCTCCATTTCTATTTGGCACAAATTCACCGTGCACTGCCCCGAACAACAAAGCTCTGCACAGACTCGGCATCAAACAAGTTGCACAAACAGCTTTAGATTATTCAATATTTTTTATTTCTCTTATAATGAGGCAGCAATGAACGAGCAGAGCTGCCTGCAATCAGCCAGCAGCAAAGGCTTTCTAAAGTCTGATCTATTTATAGACCTATATCCTATTTTCTACACGAGAAAGTATTTTTCTACAATTACTTTAAAGAAGGACTCAAGAGTAAAGTATGAAAAATGTAGACACGTGTTATTCATTATATCTTTTATATTTATAACTTGTTTTATATCTATACATTTTATGGCATTTTAAGTTTTGTTTTCTCTGTAATTAATCACTTACTAATGTAAAACTGTAAACTTGTAGTTAAACTTCTGTTTTCCAAAAATAACAAAAAATGATATATCTATAATTAATCTATCTATGATTTGGTTTGTACATTTCGTTGACAAAGAAAAACTCACAATGGTCATGAAGTCACTGAACTAACTGATGATGACGAGTCATTGATTTTGTTTCGTGGTTCCACAGAATTGTTTTCAAAAACAAACTATTGAAAGTGACCTTTACAGACGGGCTGGTACTCAGAGATGTTTTCTGGTTTCCTGCTATTAGCATCACATGTGTCTTCTTGTGATCAGCCTGACAGTTCAAAGAATGAAGGGTAGTCACAGTGCTGTTCGGTGTGTAGCGCACGGGACATGGACCACAGAAGACTAAGGGCACGGCTGTCTCAGACGCTTTAAAAGAAAATTATTGACAAGAACGCTAAAGGTAAAAGTTATAAGAGCATCTCCAAGCAGCAGATTATTCAGAAGTTTAAGGTGCACGTGATAGCCGACCTCCTTGGACATCATAGCAAGAGAAAAATTGATGACACAACGAAGAGACGTTAATACAAATGTTAACCAAAGAGCCCAGAACATTTTTCAAAGAATCAGTGTCAGAGCACAAACAAGGAAGTGCTGCTTGAGTCCAAGACTCAAAGGAAGCCGATCAAAGAAGACCCCCCTACTGAAGCCACATCATAAAATGAGACATAAATTCATGCCAGCAAGCCTCTGAAAAAAGTTTGGACAGAAGAACCAAACTGGAGCTTTTTGGCAACAGGCCCCATCAGCTACATGACCCATTAAACTTGCAGTGAAACATGCAGGGATGTGTGCATGATGTTATGTTCTAGGCCGCACATGTGTCCAACTCATGGCCCAGGGGCCAAATATGGCCCTCACTGGCATGTTTTCTGGCCCCCAAGGTGCTATGTCAAATGAAAAATACCTTAATCACTTGAATTTTTTCAGTAATCTTTGATTATGATGTGGAAAGTGCAACAGGGAACGTCAAATGAGACCAATCAAACTCTTGTTGAGGAACATGTGACCAAGAGAAGATGTTATGTATCTGACTTGAGTTAATTAAGATGTTATATATCTCACTTGAGTTAATTAATATGTTATATATCTGACTTGAGTTAATTAAGATGTTATATATCTCACTTGAGTTAATTAATATGTTATATATCTGACTTGAGTTAATTAAGATGTTATAGTTCTGACTTGAGTTAATTAAGATGTTATATATCTCACTTGAGTTAATTAATATGTTATATCTCTGACTTGAGTTAATTAATATGTTATATATCTGACTTGAGTTAATTAATATGTTATATATCTGACTTGAGTTAATTTTTTTAAATGACCCTCGGTTTGAACCAAGTTTTTAATTTTGGCCCCCTTTTGTAAATGAGTTTGACAGCCCTGTTTGGGCTTTGGTGCGTCTGAATTTGTGCAGGGTATGAAGCCTCAAGACTTTCCAGACATAAATGTGCTGCACATTGTCAGAAAGCTTGGTCACAAGTCACGTGTTCTCCAACAGGATAATGAATTACAGCAAGTCACAGCATCAGTTATCTCAGGGCACTGAACGAAAACATTCACATCATAAATGCCACTTAGTAAAGTTATCTTTCTAATACAACTTATCTATCTAAGGAAGGGAGGAGACGCAGCTAAACACACGCAAGACTGAAGAATAAAATGTTGGACTATTCTTAGGTGGCCTTTAACGAGCTTTGATCTAAATCCTGTTGAACATCTGGAAGGAGCTAAAACCTGCAGCGTGGGAAAGGAGAGGGCCTTACCTGTCGAGAGGTGAAGGCTCAGGGTCACAGAAATCACGTGATTGAAGTGATTGTCTTTATAAAGTCTGCGACACCAAATGTTAAGTGTACCATTTTATTTTATTTTATTCTGTTGAACCAAAATTCAAACCAGTAATTGATTTTCATCAGTTAATTTCAGTCTTTTTGTGTTTGTTTTTAATACTTTTGTCTGTTTCAAGTTACTTCATGGACCTTTGTCAGGAATAATCTGAAGAAGCAAAATGTTCCACGTCTGTAATCATATTTATACAATAAAAAACATCCTGTTCACCTGTGATTCACATAT